GGGGCCAGCCCTGCAGGCTGGGAGCTGGCAACGCGTGTGGGGAGCCTGGGCACTGAGCATAGCGGGGGGCAGATCCTGGGCCAGGATCCCTGCCTCCATCCCTTCACCCCACCTCCGCACCACCCACAAGCCCAGTCTGCAGCTCCCAGACAGCTCTGCCTGGCTGCCAGACCTCCCACCCCACCACCTCCAACCCCCCCCCAAAAGGTTCCCTGGGGAACCCCCCCTCCCCAGGCAGCACCGGGACCCTCAGCCTGGCTGCTCTGATGGCAGCAGAGTGCTGCCCCTCAGCTCGGCTCCCCCAGTCCCAGCAGGAGAGAGGGGCAGCCCACCCACCCCAGCTCCCACTCTAGCCCTGTTTACCCAGTGCATTCTTGCGTCTGCCCGTCCCGCCGGGGCGCGGGAGGCACGAAGGCGGCTGCTGGGATATTTACCCAGCGCCTGGCTGCTCTGACTCTGCAGCTTCTCACCGGCGCTGGCCCCGCCACAGGACAAGAGGGGAATTGAGGCTGCAGGATGTCTGCGCCCACCCTCCTCCCGGCTGATGAGGCCACCAGGCACCTGCCCTGCGCCAGGGTGATCCCCTGCTCCCTCTGCCCACCTTGGGCATGGCCTCGGCTCCACCGGCTGCTCCCCACCTCCCAGAGCCCCAAAGGGGCATCCCGCTCCAGCCAGGAGGACGTGCTCCTGCCCCACAACCAGCCAGGGGCAGGGGGCAGCCAGCCCCTGCCCACAGCATCACACCAGGGCAGGCGGTCACTACCCCCACCCTGGGCAATATGGAAAAAAACTGGGGGAAAATACCAAATATTGTTAGAGGGTACGTTCAGAGCGAGTCTGCTGAGCACACTGCCACAGGAATAAACATCATCAATTATGTCATTTTACTCCAAAACTTAAAAGTGCGCAAATAAAATCCCATCGCCCACAGCCCAAGTTTATCTGTAGCCCTCTGTATTTTGCGTCATTAGCATCTTTCCAGGGAGTGTTTAGACATACATGGCCATCGCACTCATCGCTCCAAGTGTTTTCTCTAGAAAAACAAGTAACTTCTCTCTGCCTCCCACCGTCAGCTGTCTGAGCTCTACAGCTCAACCCCCTCAGCCCCTCACAGACCAGTACTCACCCCACTGCAGGTACACCCTCACCCAAAAACATGACCCCACGGCTCTTGGGGTGCTACACAGCCCCCTCCCCAATGTTACAGCTACTCCACTGCCCCCAGTAACGGCTGAGCCCTCTGCATGCCAGCTCCCCCCACACACCCCCTGGCCTTGGAGCACACCCAGCACAACCCAGACACCCTCATCATCACTGCCAAGACCAGTTTTTCCCCAAATTTCCATAGGGCACAGCTTGAGGAAGGGGTTTATGACTGAGAAGGGGTCTCTGGCTGCCCCACACAAGCTCCCACGCTGGTGGGGTGTACAATCAGCAGTGAGATCCGGACCTCCAGTGCCTTCCCAGCCTGGTGGGTGCCACAGCCCAGTGGGCACTGGGCAATGCCAGCTTGAAAGCACCCCCCCACACACCCCCTGACCGGGGGGAGCTGCAGCTGGCTGGCAGGGACCCAGGCCATGGCCGTTCCCAGCTGCACAGCAGCCAGGGTCACATTCCTGGGATAGCTGGGAGCTTTGCTGTTCACACAGGGAAAGGTCACCCTTGTGCACACACAGGCAGCTGCCGGGACCACCGCCTGGGCAGGGGAAGGAGCAGCCCCAGGGAGGCACAGAGGAAGCCCAGCAGCTCCTGCCAGAGCTGAGCTTCTCCCTGGCTCCATCCCAGCAGGATCCAGCCCTGGCACAGACAAGGAGGGGCAGCCGCAAGCATCCCTGAGCTGGGGGCAAACAAGGCCACAGGAGGACTGAAGATGGAAACCCCAGTAAGCGATGGGAGCTGGTGGCAGAGACACACCATTTCTCCATGATCACCTGCAGGACAGCAAGGCCAAGGCCACAGAGGGGCCAAGGTGACCTGGGCTTGGGACAGGTTTTGCTGGGGCAAGACAAGAGCCAGCTGAGGGCAAGAGATTTATTGGTCATTCTCTATATACACTTATATATTAATCTGTATTAGAAAGCAGCAGTCGCTAAGTACACAGAGCAGCACCAACCCGTGCCTCTTCTCACGCTGCAGCTGGAGACTTGGCCACACAGCCCAACCCAAACTCACCCTCTCACCTCCTCTGCGCTACAGCCAAATATGGGGGGGGGAAAGACTAAACCTGAAGGCAGTGAAGCCCAGGAGCACAGGAGTGACTAGCAGGGTCTCAGCTGAGCCAGGACCAAAGACCACATCTCCTGGGGATGCAAGTAGCACTCTGACTTGATCCCAAAAATACAGTCACCTAGCACAGGGCTGGGAAAGGTAGGGACAGAGCCCTGAGGTTGTTCTGCCCCACCCAGGAGGTGGAGGTAGGACCACGAGTGGGAAGGATGGCTCCTCCATCACTGAGCCAGGCCACAGGGCCTGGGCAAGTACGTGGCAGGGTGCACAGCGAGTGCCAAAAAGCACCCAGCTGCAGGAATGGGGGCACAGCTGTGGGCAACACTCCGCCGCAGGGACCCAGCTGATGCGGCGGATGCTGTTGGGCAAGGAAGGCTGGTCTGCCCCCAGCCTGGTGCTGGCAGGAGGAGCAGAGAGCGCAAGCGTCCTCTGACAGGGTGACACCACTCTGGGAACCAAATAGCCCAGGCTCCCAGCGAGCAAGGGCAGGGCACCCACTGTCCCAGGTGTCAGGCAGTGCAGGACCCAGGAGCTGGCTGGTTTCAGTCACTTGATGAGCACCTGGTTGCACAGGGCACACACAAACACCGTCTCCCTCTGAGCTTCCGGGGCTGGAAAGGAAAGCAAGTGTCAGAGATGCTCCCCTTCCCCACCACATCACCCACCATGGACTAGGGACCCCAGCCATGGAGCTGCTCCAAGAGCTGCAAACCCATCACTGCTCTGATCTGAGCCAGGCAGCACCAGGCAAGTCCTGCTGGCCCTCCCCACCAGTGCTGGGGCAAACACCTGCAGCAGATAGTGCAGGTGGGAGCAGGAGACTCTGCCCTCCTCCACCTTTGCACTCACCAGTGGCTCCCATCACAGCCTTGGGGACTTTGAAGGAGCAACACCTGGAGCAGAAGCTGTTCCCACAGTTACTGCAGCTCCGCTGTGGAAAGAGATGGAGGTAAGACACTACTCTGGGCACACTCCCAGCCCTCCCCAGCAAACTCCAGTGCCAGAGCACTGCTAACAGCATTCACTGCTGAAGGGGAGTGGGCTCAAGCCCTGAATCTCCACAGCCATAGCAGATGGGCCATCTGCCAATGACACCTGGACAAATTGCCCAGCCCCAACACTGGATCCGCATACAATTATGCTCTAACATCACAGGAATCCTGTGCCCAGCCTAAGAAAGTACTGGGAGCACAGTCTCCAGGAGGTTTAAGGACACTGTATCATTTCCTATGCTGTAACTCTGGAGGGACGTAAGCTCCACAGAGTCCCAGACACATATCAGGCTGACCCAGGAGGAAGGAGAGAAGGCTGCGAGTCTGGATAACAGGAGGCAGCAGGAAGACAGCAATGCAAGTCTGGAGGGGGCAAAAGAGACGTCCCTCCCAGAACTGCCCAGGGAACTGCACACAAAGCATCGGGCGCAGGGGCTCAGACAACAGTGGTGGCCTTTGCTCCCCTAGTTCCCACAAGCAGACCCAAGCTCTGCTTCACCAGAAAGCTCTTGGGCCGTAAGAAATGAGCTAAACCAGGGCCCAGAGCAGGTGCCTTGTACACCAGCACACACGGGTTTGGCCTGAGCCAGCTTCCCAAAGAGCAAAAG